AAAATCTACGAATAATAATTATAATGATTATCTACTGAAATTTTTTAATTAAGAAACGGAACGGAACGGATGTATCGTAATTATTTAAGCACATAATATTTTTACTTTTTAATTCGCTTGATTACCTTTTAAAAATATTAACTCATCGATAAAGCCGTTGTATTAATTTCAATACCAATTCAATTGCTGTAGTACGTAAAAAAAAAGTATGTGTAGCATTCATCTATTATATTATGTTATTATTTCTTCTTCTTCTTCTTCTTCTTCTTTTTCTTCTTCTTCTTCTTCTTCTTCTTCTTCTTCTTCTTCTTCTTCTTCTTCTTCTTCTTCTTCTTCTTCTTCTTCTTCTTCTTCTTCTTCTTCTTCTTCTTCTTCTTCTTCTTCTTCTTCTTCTTCTTCTTCTTCTTCTTCTTCTTCTTCTTCTTCTTCTTCTTCTTCTTCTTCTTCTTCTTCTTCTTCTTCTTCTTCTTCTTCTTCTTCTTCTTCTTCTTCTTCTTCTTCTTCTTCTTCTTCTTCTTCTTCTTCTTCTTCTTCTTCTTCTTCTTCTTCTTCTTCTTCTTCTTCTTCTTCTTCTTCTTCTTCTTCTTCTTCTTCTTCTTCTTCTTCTTCTTCTTCTTCTTCTTCTTCTTCTTCTTCTTCTTCTTCTTCTTCTTCTTCTTCTTCTTCTTCTTCTTCTTCTTCTTCTTCTTCTTCTTCTTCTTCTTCTTCTTCTTCTTCTTCTTCTTCTTCTTCTTCTTCTTCTTCTTCTTCTTCTTCTTCTTCTTCTTCTTCTTCTTCTTCTTCTTCTTCTTCTTCTTCTTCTTCTTCTTCTTCTTCTTCTTATTATTATTATTATTATTATTATATATTATATTATGCCATACTATTATTTCACTATGAGAATTCAAAGGATATTCCTAGTATGCCAATGTATATTTGCTCAGAAATATTCTTACAATTTAGTGTAACGCTACGTTATATAGATGCTAAAGTATTTAAAACTGCGTTGGAAAGTGCTTGATAAGAGAGAATAAAACAAAATAAGTAGTTTGACGTTGATAACATTAAATATAATTAAGCAGGATGATACCGAAGAGAGATAATCGACGGAATGGAGCTTTTTTTTGTTTTTTGTTTTTCTTATTATAGCATTAAAATCGTAATCTCGTGGCCACCTTACATCTCCGAACTAATAATTAATCTTGACCATTACAAAGTAAATAGCGCGAAAAATTTCAGTTATGCCGCGATTTCGTGAATTATTTTCGCGTTGTAAAATTATTGACCAACTGCTTACCCTTAAGGAATAAGAAGTTCATCCGCGAATAAAAAGCTTCCCATTGCTTCGCTCGATATTCAACTAGCGTGACGACACGAGGCAAAGGGCTCGGCAAAAGAAAAAGAAAGAAAAAGATAAAAAAGCAATAATCCGCGAAGCTGTGAAAAATTCGCTGCGGCAAAAAGTACGGAAGCGAGTGGAGCAAAGGGCGTGCGAAGGAAGACGCGGTCGGGAGTCTCGATGATGCCCATCGAGGAACCTTTTCCTTCATAGTTGTAAAAAGGCACGCCGAGATGAGCCGACGGTCTTCCTTCAATTAGCCATAAAGATTGGCGGCAGGTGGAAGTGGAAGTGCCAATAATGACAAGACCACAACTCCGCAGGTGATCAGCACGAAATTGTTGAGGAAGCGGCCGGGCAAGAAGCTCAAGTCGGTCACGATCATCCACAGCTCGACGACGGAGACGGTGAGACTGCCGCCGGAGGGCGCGGAAGGTGTCACGGTGCATCCGCCGGCGGTGAGGGCCAAGTTACCGCTCAGCAAGAAGGTGCGGGAGAAGCGGCGCAGGCCTAAGCGCAAGAAGGATGCCGTCGCTCATGAAAAATCCGCCAAGGTGATTCACCCTTATGTTTAACCCTAAATCATAATCGGTATTAATAGTTTCCCGGTTACCCTGACATTGTGACGAAGCCCCGTCGCTGCTTCTTACTTGATTTCTTTATTTCATCCCCCGGCTTCCGGATCCCATCGCCAACATCCTCTCGAGACTTTGTTTGCTTCATCGAGTAATAATGGCGACGAGCTTATGGCTGACGGCCAAGCCACTTTTTATTTTACGATACGATGATCGATGTGAAATGATTTCTGAAATGAATCTCGCGTTTTATGAGCGTCAGTTGTGCGAGGTCGTAAGGCTCTTTAAAAGTGGCTTTGCTCATACGATTTTTCCACGAGTTATTTTGAACTCGACGATATTTAAAATGCTGTCACCAAAAAGTCTTGACTTTGTCATTTTTAATGATATTTAGTAATTTATTAATGTTCATGGCCCAAGGTTTTCGCGAGCTCAATTAAATACGAGTATTTTGTAATTGTTTAGATCTTGTCTCATTACAATTTCGCACCAATCTATCGTAAATTTAAGCAATAAAAACTGATTATAATATAGGGAATTAGTAACGAAACTAGCGAAATAGATAATTCCCGATTAGATGAGACAATTTTTCAATAGAATAAACAAAGGGATAATGTCATAGTGTCGTGTTATTGAATTAATAATTTCGTGACTCAATCGTATGGCATGAGCGATTGTAATGATTACAATTTTAACAAAAATGCTGATCTTTACTCTTGCTTCGAGTGCTTCGAGTCTTTCGTTTGAATAATGAGCAAATATTAGGTGGACACACACCGCGCGCGGTTGATTATTAAATTTCTCCCTAAATGCCTTAGCGAGGGACGAACAAGTGGCATTTCTGTTTCCCATGCTTCTGTAATATCGCACTCGAAGCACGCGCATGCAACAATTTCTCCTCGATCGAACAATTAGCAAAAATAAAATCATAGACATACGTATTAAGAATAGAGATTATACGTCGCCTCTAACAATAATACTCTCTTCCCGTATTAATGTTATTCTGATTTCCCACCGCTAACGAAAGTGTACATTAGCAATCTAAAACCGTTTTCTCTCTCTCTCTCTCTCTCCTCTCTATCTCTCTATCTCTCTATCTCTATCTCTCTCTATCTCTCTATCTCTCTATCTCTCTATCTCTGACTGTAGGCGAAGAGAAAACGACCGAGTGGGATACAGAACGGTGCAGCGGCTCCAGCGATCACTCAGGACGAGTCGTCGCGCAAGCGACAAGCAGCTCCCGACCTCTCGGTCGGCGAAGCTCTGAAGCAGCAGCGCCAGCGCACCTCGACCCTCCAGCAGCTAATGAGGCGGGCACCCAAGAGCAGGCCCGACAAGCCGGCCCGAGAGTCGAGCCCGGCGACGAGTCCTGCGGCCCCGAGTCCCAACAAAAAGAAACTCGGCTGCCAGCATCAGCAGCTCCTGCCCCAGCAGCGCAAGAAGAAGGAGGTAATCGACTACTCGACCGCCCAGGCGGACAAGACCGAAGCGACGCCGATGCCGACCGTAATCGGAGCCATAAGCGGGGCTGACCCCAAGAGCAAGGTCCGCTCCTGGCTACTCGCTACCCACTGCCGCATCGAGGCACCCATCGCTACCGCCCTCCCCAAGAGCAAGTCCAGCCCCATGAATCTGCAAGCCAACCCGGTTGCCGGACTCTCGTCGAGGACGCCGGCCGCGGGAGCGCGCGTCAACAACACCAGGTCTGCTACTCAACGCGGCTACTGGCCGATTATTAATCTCACGATACGCGAGCAAATCCCATAATGTCTGCTCGGATATCAACAGCCTCTCTCCCATATTCACGCTCTTTTCAACATATTTACCATTCGCCGAAATGAGACAATGAGCACGCGATTCAAAGTCGCCAAATCTTAAATCTAATCAGCCTTTAGTGGTAATACGGGAAGAATATGTCAGACTATGGAGCCTGAAAGACGGCGAAATTGTTCGAATAGCGCGTATTAGTATTAGCGCGACTGCCCGGTTAAATGTTTCAGTCGCTTTTGACTTTCCCCTGACAGCCGACTAAAAATTCCATCGAGAAACGATCGCATTATAGTGATCCTCGTCGATTATGCACGCGAGATTCTAACGACTGCCAAGTGCATAAAGCTACGGCTGACAAAATTCTGTGAGGCTGAAAAATTTTGCTGAGGCTGGAGCAGGCAGGCGCTAACGAGTGTACGTTGACGTGTACAGGCACGTGGCCTTGAGGAGACTGACGGGCTCGAAATCGCGCAGCGTTGGGAGCCTTGCGAGGAACACCGAGGCGGCGACGACGCCGGCGACGACAACGACGATGACGACGGCAACAGTTGGAGCGACAACAACTACCGCCGCCGCCGCCGCCGCCGCCGCCGCCGCCGCCATCACTTCCGGGGCCAAAAACGAGCGGGTAAGACTCCAGGTCGTCTACAAGCCGCCCTTCAAATTCACGGTGAAGCTGCGCAAGGCGGACAAAGTCGGGCAGGTGCCGGTGGCCGGTCCCGGGTCAAGGGCCGTGAACCCGGGACCGCGGACCGGAGTCCTCGTGCGAACCATCGCCGAGAAGAAAGCGAGCAAGGAGCGGAAGAGAAAGTCCAAGCCAAGCAGGGCCTCCTCCAAGCTCAGCCAGGCGTCGTGCATCGCCGAGCCGGCCAACTCGGACCTGCATACCGTGCCCTCGGACCTCGAGGTGCTCCTCTCCGAGAGCGAGTTTCTATTCTCGGACACGTGATCGCGTCAGGTCAGGTGAGCGCTGAAGGCGGCCATGCTTTTACGCTCGATAGAGTTTTTCTCTTTTCGCGATGAGGTTCCTCGCAATTGAGGGAGATTCGACAATTTTTATCAAAGGCTTAGAATTACTTATGCTTGGTATTAAATTTTCCCTTCGTACCGTCTCCCCCATACCATCGTACTCACACCCTCGATTGCCGTTCGTCGTCGACATTCCCTTCTGCCTTACGCTTAATCGCCCTTTTCGCCTTTTTTCCTAAACGATGCTCTCACATACAAAGCTCGTACACGGTCATAGGTACCCTTTTTCTTAAATACGCGAACAAATTAACTGTAAGCTACCAATCTCTCTTGCTTTCAATAGCTTCATTCTCTCTTAATTATTGCAACTGTAGGCATTTTATAGATAGATTACTAAAATAATGTCGAGATGAATTCTCACTTTATTAATTATTTAGATTGTAAGTACGTAATTTTAAGTTGATTTTTCGTTTTGAAATCTAATGCCTTGTAAGTGCCACGCATTTTCAATCAATATACATCTTTAGTATTTATTATTTTTCTAAAAATGCAACTTTCAAACTGCATATACTACTATAAATAAGCTTATTTCACGTTCTTGAGATTAAATGCATTTTAAAGAAATTGTCGAATTCAAGTTATTTTGGTATTAAATTCGAGACTATGATTAACTGAAGTATTATTTCCACTTTATACTCACTTTATAAAATCTCAATTTACTTATATATATATATATATATATATATATATATATAAATACGGTTTTTGGTAATTTAATTAATGATAACCGAAATCCAAACTAGCAGAAATTAAAGAAATCTTTAAAGCCGAATAAGTAACTTATTCCGTCAATTGCGCGGAATGTGTTCGGTCCAATTGAAAAAAAAAAATGAAAATGAAAAAAACTCTATCGAACTGTCAATTAAACTGGTTTAGCTATCAATTAAAAGTAGATTCGTTATAGATAAAGAAACTGCCCAGTACGCTTATGCGCGATGTCGTCGAAATATTATATCAGTAAATACATAATATTATCGGGACACAAATTTCGAGGACAGACAAACGTGTCAAAGGCAAACTCGCATTTTTGTATATAAGGTTAACTGTGATTTTCTTGCGAGTTGTTGAATTACTTTTAAAAACATTCCTGGATTACAAGCGAAACGAATTAAGGATAGAGATAAAATGACAGAGAGAGAGAGAGAGAAAGAGAGAGAGAGAGAGCGGCGCACATTTATATACTTGCATAAGTTTTGTTCGTTTATTTTCTACGGCGAACCTTCGTACCCGAAGAAAAAGGCAAGAGATCTCTGTTTTTTTCAATTGCCGTCTTCTTAAAATAGAAGAATGCGATGAACTATTACCGCACTTATCTCGAAGCGAAAAAAGAGACAGAAAATAGGTAGAAATATAAAAAATGGAGGATGTTTTGTGAGCCTTCTTATTAAATGCGCCAATAAGACTTAATTTTAGTTTTTTGTTTTCTCTTATCGTTATTCTTATTCTTTTTCTTCTTCTTCTTCTTCTTCTTCTTCTTCTTCTTCTTCTTCATCATCTTCTTCTTTTAAAGCTACGGTCAAATTTTATTTTATCGTACTTAAGATTTACTTGCAGTAATTAGAAGTTCTATGCTCGTCAGTTCCCTATTTGTAATCGACGGTAAAATGCAAAGTGCTCCATTGATGAAGCTTACACTTTCCAACATAAAGATGCTGCAGAATTAGAAATTCTTTTTATTTCAATGTTTGCAACGTTTGCTTAATGAAAGATTTGTAAGATTTTCGGTACGATCAAATCTATCCGATATTGTCTATAAATAAGTAGCTAGATTACTTAAAGAAACGCGACAGTATTTTATAAACAGTTGTTTGCCCGTGTGCGTGTGCGCTTGCGTGTGTTCTTTTGCGCATGTGTGTATAAATATGTCTGTTGTCCTTAGTTTTATCTGTCGAAAAACTTAACATCTCAGGTAAACCAGTTGAAGAAAGCCTGTCTTACTTAATAGGTACTTCATTACGATAATATAAATTCTAACGTAGCTTTAAAATAGAGAGAGAGAGAGAGAGAGAGAGAGAGAGAGAGACAGACAGAGAGAAGAATCGACTAGTCATAGCTTATCTGATAAGCTAGGTCTTTAACTTCTACACGATCTCGTGCATTGGAGATTTCCGCGTCCAATTTTTAATTAGATTGTAAAATTCGACTCGTTCGCTAAAGGTTTAAAAAGTTTAGTAGAGCAATGTAACTCGAAGATAGGAGAAAGTATTGTTCGACTCGATTTAATTTTTCCTAACGATCATTACATTTTTACTTTTATTTTGTAAAATAAATTGCATTATGGCCTATAAATTAAAATTAAATTTATTGCCAATTCTCTATACTATTTTATTTCCCTATGGCGTTTTAATTTTATTAATAATCTTCTATTATATAACTTCTTAATTTTACGTAAAACCAATGCTGCTAAAAAGTATAGTCATCTACTAATTACACAGCGTATATACACATCTATCACGAAATAAAACGAAAACAAAAACAAAAAAACAAAAAAAAAAACAAAAAACAAACAAAAAAATGGAATAAATTTTTGGCAACGTTACTGGTTGTTCGCCTGCATTTTATGTCTTAAGTTTTATTATACCGAATATGTAATTGTCGGAGATGTAGGAAATAACGAGATTTAAAATTCATTAAATTGGATAACTGGACGGGAATATTTCTTTTGATGAGCGTAGAAAAAAAATATCATTAAACTGTATATATATACACGAACTTTTTCTCCCGCGACTCCTTCGTGAAATGCAACATTACGGTTAATGATGCGCTGGGGGGGGGGGGGGGGGGAGACGGGGGGGGGGGTGGGGGGTGGGGGGGGGGGGGGGGGGGGGTTTAAGGGAGATTATCAAAAAGGGATCAAGCGTAGCTAGAAATTCGAGTCGCGTGGAAACTGCACGTGCCAATGCAAGTCACTGAGGAAACACTGCCCCTTCCCTCCGCTTACTAACATGTAATGGTCAATAAAAAATCTAAGAATAAAAAATATAAGTAAAGGTAAAAAATAAAAGTAAATAAATAGATAAAAGGGGAGAAAATCGGAAAACTTTTTAATCGTAAGATTAAGGTTTCTCTTCAAATGAATAGCCCAAGACATTGAACTATGCTCGTGTAGACTTTCGGACATGACAATTATGATATAAATGACATGACTTGCTGTTATTTTATCACGAAAAATGATTTAACGGACTTCGTTTCACATTGCAAGGTAAGAGACAGTACTTATATAACTTTTACACTATCTCTTATAATTTATCGAGAAGAAAAATCTAAACAACATTTCGTACGCTTGAAATTGAAAACTTTACCTATTTCTATCTTCGATCATTGTACATTCAAAATCTGTTAAAAAAAAATACACGAGAAAAAGGTACTTAATTGATTTTAATGATTACTAACATAATAATTTGATCTCGTTTTAACGCTTACAAAACTAATATTAAAAACGAGCTTGAAAATGCTAATTAAACAAAATTCAGAAAACAACTCTTTTTTTTTTTTTTTTTTTTTTTTTTGTTTGTTTTTGTTTTTAGCTCATAAGTGCAAGCTTTTAAACCTATGACAGTTAACAATAGTTTAAATTGTTTTAGTAAATGATAAAAGCTAAAACGATCGTTAATTAATAATTTCTTCACTATTTTTTTACACGTAGTAACGATTATCTACGAAAATTTTCTATTTCTATTCTCATTAAAGTTATGCATAATTAACACCAAAAGAACAAGAAGCATTTTAATTACTTATCAATTTCAAAATATACTCGGATTTTCAATGAACATTTGTACTCTAAACCCTTATATATACGTATTTATGCATGCATGTACATGCCTGTGTATGTGTATATGCGTATGTATATGCGTATACATTTATTTACAAACATTATATATATAAAATTATGTGTATCGTAGGATGTGTATGTGTACGAGTTTATCTACATATACATGTATGCGTCTACATTTTTGCACGAGTGTTTGGCGAGAGTGGTATAAAGTTTCGAAGGAGAATTCGCACTCTCTTTCTAACATGGTTCCTGTAGCTAGGAATTCCTAAAGACGGACGTTCGAGCCCGCGAAGCGGCTCTTGCATGTAAATATGCGCAAACTAAATGTAATTGAATATAAAGCTGGGGAGGATATGAGTACATAGAGCCAGAGGCCGAGAGAGAGAGAGAGAGAGAGAGAGAGAGAGAGAGAGAGGAGAACCGCTTGCCATTGACGCGAGTTGATGCTCGCTGAAGATAGTTTGAAGAGCGATAGTTTGTTAGGTCGCGAGTTATTGATATTTTTGTGATCTTGTAAATATGTGTACGAAATCTCATGAGATAGAAAGGGCTTTCGGACGACAATTTCTTTTATCTGAAGACGCATTCGCATTTATTGTTCCTTCGTTCTATCACCAGCCCCACCATCTTTAATATCGTATTGCCTATTTTATTTGTACTCTTATGATTGCTTTCAATATATTGTAATCAGTTTTTTCGCTATCGTATCATGGATATAATAGTGTTACAATCATTCTCTTATTACTACCATTACTACCAGTCACACTACCACTATCCCCTCACTACTATTACTACTACTACTCCTCCTACTATGACTATTGCTACTACTATCACTAATACCTCTTCTACTCCTTCTATATCATTATTATTATTATTATTATTATTATTATTATTATTATTATTATTATTATTATTATTATTACTAATATTATTACTGCTGCTGCTGCTACTACTACTACTACTACTACTACTACTACTGCTACTACTACTACTACTACTACTACTACTACTACTACTACTGTACTTTTATTATTATCCTCATCATCGCCACCACAACCATTTGTTATATTATTATTATTATTATTATTATTATTATTATTATTATTATTATTATTATTATATAAGGAATATAAATACGATGCACTTTGTTATTTTATGTATCGTCGATGCTGCGAAGTACTAGAACTTCTCAATTTCACTTTTATAATTCACGCACTTGCAATAATGTAAAAACTTAAAAGATATAAAATGTTTTTGTTCTTTGAATTCTTCGTACCGATAAAGTTGATTGCCGAGAAAATTGATTTTGTAGCCATTGAAATTCAATCGGGCACATGTAATCGGGTAATGATTTCTAGGTAATTTGATAGGGTTCGTAGGCAAAAACATAATTGTCAACATTTTCAGTTTTCACATCCCTGTAGCACGTAAACTCTGTTTATCGCTAATGATAACGCAAGGTGGAAATGTAAAGTGAAATGGAAGACGGCACTGCAAAAAAAGATTTGAATTTTTTGAGTCTTCTATATAGTA